TTGGTTTTGGGTTGAGGGTTTGGGGTTTAGGGCGACCGAGGGTGGGAGAGGTTGTGTCAGGGCTTTTCCCAAGTGGTTGATACGGATTGAATAGGTGTTTCACAAGAATTGTTCTTCTCGGGTGTTTAAGAAGGGATGAAAGGGTCATTGACAGGGTTTGATAATGCTGATTAGGGGTTTTCGGTTTAAGGGGTTTGAGGATCAAGGGGTCCAGGGAAGCAAAATACTTCTTGGGGCGTGAGGCTTTAGGGTAGTAGGGTTTCGATGTAAGTGTTTTGTGATGATGACGATGGGGATGGTAGTTGTTGTGGTGAAGAACTTTGCAATTTCATTACCACTAAAACGGTGAGAACCAAACGAGTGGTACAATCTTTCTTTGCCAGCTTGATTTTCGCCATTGGTTTTATTGATGTTATTGTGCTGATTTTACAACCAGAGTTCCGGCAAGCTTCAGAGTAGAGCAACGATGGCGAGAATGATGTCGACGTTGCTGACGGAGATGATGCCCATTTTGGCCACGATGGGCTAAACCGTGATGGGCGTCCTTGTCGCCCGAGGTCGCCCTCAAGATCGTCATAACCGTGAGCAGCTCTATTTTGGAGTTTATTCTCTTGAAGCGATACAGAATCCTGCTCCAAGCCCCAGCCGGAAAATCCGACCAGCACAGATTCGCGCGGCTGCCGCGGAGGCACGGTGCGTTGGAGTTCTCATGTCCAGTTAGGGTGTGGCTGCCCAGTGGTCATGATTTGGGTTTAGGTAGACCCTACTGCATAACACACCTAAAACTTAAACCCACGAGCCCTAAAGCCTGAACCCCTGCACCCTACAACCCGAATTGGAATGGGGCCGAAGAATTGGGGTGTCAGACAAAATCTAATAATCTAATATAAAGATATGAATATATACATATATATATATATATATGTATATACATACATATACACACACACATACACGCCCTTGTGTGTTTCCACATAATATATACATATGTATATACATTTACACATACACATACATATACATATACATTATGCACACATGTACACACACATGTACACACACATGTATGTATGTATGTATGTATGTATGTATGTATGTATGTATGTATGCATGCATGCATGCATGCATGCATGCATGCATGCATGCATGTTTGTATGTATGTATGTATGTACGTACGTACCTA